AAAAAAAAAAAGGCAATTGACATCATCTTCGTTGACCCATATCTGCTTCTTTCCTTCTATTCTTAGTAGAACTTTACCAACACTATAGATCTGCCTTGATCGGCCAAGACCAGCAGAGAATCATCGGAAATGTCGAGGCTTGTATCTTATATATATGTATCACTTGTCAAGGTTAATAATACTTATTATAGGCATTCAACCTCAGTACTGTTCTGACCATCTCATGTATCCACAAATGCGCTCAACTAAAGGCCAAAAACTCTATCCTTCTACAGCATATATCGAAACATCGGCGATCGATCGCCCATCTTCTCCATCTCCACCTCGTCGTACCCTGACACGTCCATCCGGTCTCGTTTCCGATTGATTATTTGATACGACAGACGCAGTATCACTGCCGCGATCATGCCGGCAACACAAAAGCCCAGTTCCAAGGCATGCCCAAGGATATAGTTCGGTGCGTCTTGAGAGCGGTAGAAGTTCGATGCCATGGCTGGTTCTGTTAGCGTCATGTTTACCTCAAATGACAATCACATTGCCGGAAAAAAAATGTCTTACCGCCAGCCAGATTACCCAGGCCGATCTGAATAGCCATCCCGGAAGCACGCTTGTAGTCGCCGGCCAGGTTGGCACTGAGCCACGTAATGTTTCCTGGGAAGGAGGGATATATACCTGTCTTTGTCAGACTGCTGTTCCCAAATGATTAAAATCATAATGTACATACCGATAACCGAGACGAATACACCGAAGTAAACCACCCCCGGGACACCTCTTCCTGTTGACGCAAGCACGATGATGAATCCAGCGGCGATAAGGCCCATGAAGAAAAGAACAAATGGCGATCGTTGCTTTCGGCGATCCGATAGCCACGCAGTGATAACAGCGACTACAGCTGCCGTGATGTAGATTGGGACGGTGAGCAATTGGGCTGTCGACGATGTATACCCGAGATCCTTGATGATTGAGGGGAGGAAAAGCGAGATACCATAGAGAGGACAGGTGATACCCCAGTACACTACGTTATCAGCAGTGGTAGCATAATTTGTAAATGGAGACATACCGATAATAGACACGTAAATTTGCCAGTCGAGAAGGGCATCAATGACATATTTCATGCGAAATTCGGTGGCTTCCGAGGTCCCTCCAGTATTTTGAATACGCAGCATGTGAATAACGAATTTTCGTTCTTCTTCTGTAAGGAATTTTGCAGTTTCAGGGGAGTCATGAATGGCGAAAGGAGCAATGAATGCTACTACTATGGTGAGCAGGCCTTCCAAAATGAAAATCCAACGCCAGCCGGCATAGCCTCCAACCCCATCCATTTTCTATTCGATACGTTAGTAAGGCTCTTTCATTGGGATTGCAACGGTGCCTACCGCAATTCCGTATGCTAAGAGTCCCGAGAACGCACCAGCGATACTGGCAGCACTAAAGAATAAGGCCTGTCGGAACTGAGCCCGGTGTCGAGGGTACCACATGGTGATGTAGTATGCAACTCCGGGATAAAGGCCAGCCTCTAGTAAGTCGACACGGTTAGTCCAAGTGGAAACATGATTCGTTGCATTACATGGCCCTATACTCACCAGCAACACCCAAGAAAATGCGCGTGGATAATAGTCCTGCATAGTTATGGACAACTCCCATCAACGTCTAATCCTCAACCTGTCAGTCACCTTACTGTAGTTACCATGAACGTCGGCAACATACCATGACAATACCCCACGCGACCATGAGTAACGGTAACCACCTTGACGGTCTCATCTTCTTTAGCAGCAGGTTACTCGGTAGCTCAAACGCAGCATACGTGAAAAAGAACACCGTCACTGCCACGATTGATAATGAGCTCAATAAGGCCGTATTTAATTAGTAGAGGGGAAGCACATACAACACCAATTATACTGCGGCCCCGTCATATTTAAATCCTCCAACAATCCCTCGATTTTCGCATTGCCAACATTTCCCCGATCCAAGAAAGCAAGCAGATACAGCACAGCCAGCATTGGAATAATCCGAAGGTCCATCTTGCGGAGGATGCGATTCTCCATCTCGACACTATACGTCGGGGTTACCTCTTCGTGCGGCCTTTTTTCGTCCACAGCTTCCAAGGAGCTTTCGACTACATTTTCGAAGGCCGAGCTCGACGGTTTCTCTGGATCTGAGGCAGATTGACTGTGCATATTGAGAGGAGAGGTGAGGAAGCTTGCAGAGTAGCAGAAACCCAAATCAGTGGAGCAATTTTGTGGGAACACGAAAGGTGCCAACCTGCTTATAAACACAAAAGGTGCATCTTTCGAGCTACCCCGAGTCCCCCAAACCTTCCCTCAGAACGTGGGGTCACCCCTCGTGGGCCAAGCCTTGCGTAGTATCGTCCAACTGTGGCGCTTGTGCCAAGTTCAGGCGAGACTGCGCGAGGTTGGAGTGTCCCTTGCGTCGTGAGGTATGTCATGTTGAGCCAAGTAGTATTCGAATAGAAGAGATAGAGATACCCATATCGAGCATCATAACTTTGTCAATATGATATCCATTTAAATTAACTGCAAGGTCAACAAACATGGGTTGGTGATGAGCACCACCAATACTCCAACTACCCCGGATTCCAAAGTGGGCTTTGGGGCCAGATTCAAGCAAGATCGCCGGGGGTGAGGTGACATTGACCAATCCCGTCGTGCCAGAGAGTGCGGGGTTCCAGGCCAACTGTCGCCTTGTTGAGGTCTGAATTTCGGCATTTGTTGCGGACAAGTCACCCTCACGTGTTTTTTTCTATATTCCCGAGGCGGAAATCGACGGATACTTTTTTGATGAGGCTATTACTCGACTTTCGTTGGAAACAATCTGCTTTGAGCCTCGGCGCGATCACCGATGGTCCGGGCGGGAGGTTTTCTTGGCACTTGCTTGCTTCAATTGCTTAATAAGTTTACGATCTTCTGTTCAATATATTTTGGCTTTTATTGTTATTTTTTTTTTTTTTCTTTCTTTTTTATTTAGAAGGATCTTTGTTTTTGTTCGGCTTCTCTCTGGGAAGCCTTGCCTTTATTTTATGGTTGTGTTTTATTTCATATCTTCCGTGTTTACGGACCATAGAATATCGAGACATATATATTTATCTACCTAGGGCTCATCGTAGAATTTCTACATGGAACTTAATAGGATACTGAGAACTTCAACACCATATACACAAATTCAGACCTGGAACATCGTCTGTCCATGACAAGATATGGGAATAAAAGGGAAAAGATAAAATAAAATAAATCTAAATCTAAAGTGGTTGTAATCTAGACGATTTGCGGCGACGATGTGCTGCAAATTTGGAAGGATACTGCCAATTCCAAAGCAAGGTGACCAAGCATGATTGGCAACTCACAATGACAGAAGCATCTAACGATTATGAGCACATTATCTCTGGATTGATCTGCTCGCTGATAGATACTATTCCGGTCAAGTTGTCAGGGCTCTCTTAAGCCGGCTGGCTCACATAGCAGTTATTGTAACAGACTTGCGGTATTACCGAAACTATTTCTCCTATCTACCTTCAACATAATATAATTTCTCTAGAGTGATCTTGTTAAATACCTTATAAGCCATAATTTTACAATTCGGCGAGGGGATGGCTCACTACCACCATCACTGCAACAACAATAAAGAAAACGGAAAGAAACGAGATGGAGCAAGGAAGGGAAGAAAAAGAAGACTTCTTGGTTCATTGTCAAGCATTATGTCGTGGGGAGTTGTGGAATAAGGATTGGCATCTACTGTGATGCACTCGGCGGGTCCACTGACACCCGACCAGTTCAGCGTATGGAGTATGTCCAGTCTGTCGGTGAAGCATATACGATTCACAGTCCGGCGAAATAGCCAACGCATACGAGACGGATCGCATTCTGGGAGTTTCTCTTCACAGGTGAGTGATTTAAGGAAATTGCCACCTCCCTTTTTCTGAAATCAAAACCTACAATATGTGTCCGACAATTACGCAGAGCCACCAAATGAACATGCACTGAGGATATACCACATCCGTACGTTACTTCACAGATGATGCCCAGATACTTCATGAAGTACGCTTGAACCGTTATAGTAGAACTGCCTGACTGATGGGATTATAGTTGCCGATTCCTAGTCGCTGGTTGCATACTCCGGGTAGGAATATCTGTGTGATCGTATCCGCTGCATCCACAGTGGTGCGTGACATTTGATAGGTCTCGGTCTTGACTGTTTTCTTCAGGGTTTTAGAGTTGCTTAGGATGTGTCGACAAAAGCCAGCAAGATCGCAATTAAGGTTAGGCGGGAGGATGACTGGCACATGACCGCGATTAGTACTGAGTATCATAGATCTGGGATTCCCGCCACACGACAATGCTAGGCTCCATTCGAGGGGCTAAAAAGAGTCTGATAGGACTACTCTGACATTTAGACGGTAGTCGAGGTTGCTGGGGAAGAAACTCTGGCCTGTAGTTCAGCAAGAGGGTTATTAGTATTCGTATACTATTGAGGAAGGCCCATGCGACTCACAGTGCAAGATGGCGTTCAGTGGGTTGCACGTCGCTCAGCCGTCTTTAGTAGGTTCTCGATTGCGGATCGCCTTTGTCCTGCTGTCCTAACGACCGTCTTGGTGGCGCATTTATATGACGGATCGACGCCTTCTGTTCACATAAGTAGGTTGTTTATACGTTTAGCGGGATAAGCGCATGAATAGGGTCGGTAGTGGCGCTCCATATGATAGGGATTGATCGGAGTGGTGTCAATGGTAGTGCAACCCTGTTCATCGATGTCGTGTGTCTCTCTTGCAAAAAGTGAAAAATCGAAAGCGGCAAACTCGAAACTGAAATCCTTCGAGTCTGATTATTATTTTTTGCTTTTGTTCGGAAACAGGGCAAGGAATCTGCGCAGCACAGGGGGTTTTGTCCGTACAGGGCATTGACAACCTTTGTTGCCCTGTAGGTATGCGGCGGATCCAGCCAACACAAGTTCTGATTTTACATACATGGTGTGACACAGGATGGGGGCTCAGCAAGGCTGAAGGAGCAGGATCTCGGTCATCAAGCATCGAAAGAAAACGTAGATGGTGTGTCGTGGGCCGCAGCCAAGGCATACCAAGGTTTTGTGGCGAGACTGTGGAAGAACACGGCATAAAAATGGGAGGGCAAAAGGTCACATCCATCCTGTCGAGTCCGTATGCAACGATCATCCCGTGGCTCACAGCCTGACGAATGAAATAACCAGCTTAGCGATCTTCGAGAAGACGCTACTGCGAATTTTGTGGCAAATCCAAACCTAAACATCCCAGTCGACGAGCGCAGCGATGCCGGAGCGGACAGGCTAGAAGAAATCCAGATGCAGGTCCGAGGGGTGGAAGCGATGATAGACGGCGGACAAATGAAGTGGATACAATGGATGCACCTGTTATAATGATATACATGATAGGTGGAACTGATGGTCGGTGGTCCGATCCTTTATTACTAACGGTTTCAGGAGGAACTGCCAGTTCATGAAGCGACAGAGCACGTGCAGTACCAGTAGTTGGGTGGGAAGCACCAGACACGTGGGGAGAGTGAATTGTATGACTCTAGTCTATGAATCATGGTATCTAATTTCTAGATGCTAGCGATAATGGTAGAGAGGGGGAAAAGAAAAGAAAAGTGTATATATCACTCACCATCATTACAATTATATAATGCTAACTACTGACTACCTTATTTATCTTGACACTAAATACTGCTATAGTCCATACTGATCTCAAGGTACAGGCACGTGTCTTTGGTTGACCTAACAAGGGAATGCGACGGTTTCCAATTACCACTGGTGTGATCATGGAAGATTCCCTGATCCGTGACAGTTTCCAGAACCGGATTGATATCACAATTCTTGAACCTAATAAAATGAATGGAAAGGTTCCTACTAAGGGACTGCCGAGCCTGCAGCCAATGGTATCAGAAGGCTTAATTAAATCACGCAGGGGAGGGAGTCTTGGCACCATCAACGCATGGACCAAGCGGGGAGTCGATAGGGAGCTCGTGGTAGCGGTGGGCCCGCTGATTGGGTCAATTCAGCTCCGATGCCAAGCCTGGTCCCGGAGGAAGAGATTGAGTAGTATCACAACGGCCAGTCGTACTAGTATAAAGACTGCCATTGACCTCTGCCAAGGGTGCCAAGTACGCCGGTCATGGGTGAAGCTCTGGTCAGCTCCAAGCCACGGGCGTAACTGCTCTGTGAGACCACGGCTACGAATCAGACTCCGCGAGCGAGGAACGTGTCTTGTCTGGAGACCACCGTCTAGATGCAATCCCACCGTCATGCGGTGGAAAAGGCACCCTCGTATTGCCTAACGGACGCCCCGGCAAGGTGAGACACAAATTCTGTCACTATCCAGAAAAATACCAGTCGTTTGCGGAGGATTATGTGCAGTAGTAGTGCCACTAGTGTAGGGAGGGGAGGAAGTGACTTAGTACCTGGTAAATATAGGGCTTGACTCGGAGAATCCCACGCGCCTGTTTCGTCATACAGTTAATTTCCGTGTAGACATCAAATGCCGTCCTGTTCTTGTTTTAATTGCACTTAATTTCTATTTCCTAGAGAGATATTGAGATCATCTTTTTTCCTTCGTTGAGGGTCGCATGTCGAAGTCAGGGGCCACGTGGGTGCCGAGCACTCCTTCCACTGCCTAGAAGGCTTGGATTCTGACAAGAAACCCCCATCGCATCTGAAACTTTCCACCGTCGGGGCTTGACCGTACAGCTAAGTGGACTAGCGTCTTAGCCTGCCACTGGGTGGTGAACGCCTGTGTCGGACGCCCGTCCCACTTTTCATATACAACCCTAGACGGACGGCCACCTACATAAAACCTTGCCTTCTGTCATCTTGATCCCTCCTCTTTCTCTTTTCCTCTCTACGCACATCTTATCTTCTTCCATTTTCCGAGCATCAGTTAATCCAGTTAACTCTCTCGGCCCAAATGGCGGTGCTCGACGAGTACACCTACGTGTTTGCCATTGGCACAATCTTTGCCTTGTTGGACGCGTACAACAACGGTGCAAGTGAGTCATCACCTCCTTGATCGACGTAAGGTAGCAAGGGAATTACTAATCCTGTATCTCAGATGATGTTGCAAACTCTTGGGCGACTAGTGTGTCGTCGCGTTCTATTTCCTACCGACAGGCCATGATCTTCGGTACAATCTTCGAGTTCCTTGGAGCCGTCTGTGTCGGCGCCCGTACCGCCGATACCATCAAGAACGGAATTATCCCCGTATCCGCCTTCAGGGGTGACGCTAGTGTTCAACTACTGGCATTCGCCTGTGCCCTCGCTGCCGCGTCCTCCTGGGTCATGTGGTGTACCCGACACTCCACCCATGTCTCCTCCACCTACTCTCTCGTCTCCGCCGTCGCTGGTGTTGGTGTTGCAACCGCTGGTGCATCCAAGGTGCAATGGGGCTGGCATGATGGAAAGGGTCTTGGTGCCATCTTTGCTGGACTGGGGATGGCGCCCGTCATCTCTGGTGCGTTCGGTGCCATTATCTTCATGTTGATCAAAGTCATCGTCCACATGCGGAAGAACCCTGTCCCCTGGGCGGTTTATTCGTCTCCCTTCTGGTTCCTCGTTGCCGCTACCATTTGTACCCTTTCCATTGTGTACAAGGGCTCTCCCAGCTTAGGGCTGAGCAAGAAGCCTGGTTGGTATATTGCCGCCGTGACATTGGGTTGTGGTGGTGGTGTCGCCGTGCTATCGGCAATCTTTTTCGTTCCGTTTGTGCATGCACGGGTGATCAAGAAAGACCAGGACGTGAAATGGTGGATGTTCATCATGGGCCCCCTGCTTCTCCAGCGCGCGTCCCCGAACGTGGGAGAACAAGCGAAGGTTCCAGACTACGCGGTCGTCCAGGAGGACCATGATGACATGGCGTCGGTCCCCTCGACTGCTGGTTCCACCACCGGAGAGCTTGGCAAGGACCAAATCCAGACGAAGGAAAAGGCCCTTGTCATGGCAGAAACCCAGGCCACCTACCAAGAACTTGTCGCTCAGGGCGAGGCCAGGTTCCATGCAAGGCTCATGAAGAAGCGTGGCCCCCTCGGATGGGCGATGCGCACCTTGCGGGACAACCCCATGGGCGCCGGTGAGATCTATGAATGGCGGAACATGGTGAGGCTGGCCAAGCGCATTCCGGCCATGATCACAGTTGGTCTTCTCTACGGTATGAACTACGATATCCATGCCGCTCAATCTGGTGTTCACGGCACCCCAGAAGGTGAGCGCATGGCCCGGGTATACGCACATGCCCCGAAGTACCCCAATGAGGTTGAGCACACCTACTCGTTCGTTCAGATTCTCACCGCTTGCACTGCTTCCTTCGCTCACGGCGCCAACGACATTGGAAACTCAGTGGGCCCTTGGGCAGTGATGTACTCAGCATGGAGGACTGGCGATGCCCAGCAGTCGAAGGCCCCCGTCCCTGTGTGGCAGCTCGCTGTTCTTGCTCTTACTATCTCTGCTGGTCTCATCACTTATGGCTACAACATCATGAAGGGTAAGCGGTGTCGCTCCAATATTCCATTGAGTTCATTTGGCTAATTTCTTTTTTTCATAGTCATGGGTAACAAGATTACGTACCATTCACCCAGTCGTGGTTGCTCCATGGAGTTGGGTGCCGCATTGACCGTCCTCGTCTTCTCCCAATACTCCCTCCCGGTATCGACCTCCATGTGTATCACTGGCGCCACCGTCGGTGTGGGTCTCTGCAACGGTACCTGGAAGGCTGTGAACTGGCAACGAGTCCTTTTGCTCATGATTGGATGGGTTATGACTATTCCTATTGCTGGTACTCTGGGTGGAGTCCTCATGGGTCTCTTCCTAAACGCTCCTCACTTTTCTTAGTGGATCCTTTTTAAAATTCCCCAGCTATGACTCAGCTCCCTGCATATATTAATTTTCCTTTGTTTTCTCTTCTTCAATGTAACTACGGCGTGGGATAGCATCGACCACGAGCAGTGTTTACTATCCAAGAACTTAATCAATATACCCACACGCTTTTCTATATATGAAAGTTCTGTATATATTGTACAACAGCAGTAACCATACCTGTGATGTCATCCCCTAGCATTTCCGTGTAACATACTCTGAAGAATCATATATGGATCGGTGGGACTCACGTCGTACATGCATGCTAAAGCGTGGTGGATGACACTTGGTAACGTTTCACTCACCGAGGATGCTGAGACTGTCGGCCAGACGTTCAATAGTTGTCCTACCTGCCAAAGCTATTAGGTGTTACCATCTTCTACTACAGCTCTCTCTGCCTATTATATACACATGATCTCCCCTATTGTCCTTGCAGATTGAATCTGGACTACCCTTTGCTTAGAGATGCCGTGATACTGAAATACCGATGAACCGGCTTGTTCGACCCTTATACAAAAATACTTTTCGATGTAGCCGACTTGGCAGACGCCGATATAACCTTGAGCATTGTACAGCATCTACAATATTCTAGTTGTTTTTCGCCCCATCCCATGTCAGCGAATACAATGGTCCATGCGATGAATACGGCATCGTCGATAAAACAGCCAAGGAACATCATGTTATGCGTCTTCGCTTTGTCCAGTAGTGACCGTATGAAGATGGATGAATGGATATCGGGGAAATATGTAACTGCAAACGTGCAAACTACGCCGCTAGGTATTGGATCGATCATGCGGCACATTCCGAGAGAGAACGAAGACAAATTGCATCAGTTGATCATGGAGTTCTTTATCGGTAATGAGATCTTATACAAAAGGTGGCTTCGGTTCTATAATCCAGATAGATATGCCTCAACCGGCCGAAGCTTGGAATGTCCACCCAGTCCTATATATTACGCATCAATTTGGGGTTTGCAACGAGAAACTGAACAATTAGCACTATTGGGTGCTGATGTAAATGCCAAGGGAGGGGACTTTGGTATTCCTCTTCAAGCTGCTTCATATAATGGACATCGACAAATTGTGGAGATATTATTGAAGAATGGTGCTGATGTAGATAACAGACTAGGAGAACTTGGAGAATTTAGCAATCCTCTCCAAGATGCCTCGTTCCGAGGACATCAGCAGATTGTGGAAGTATTATCGAAGCATGCTGCTGATATAAATGCTACAAGAGGACGACGTGGAAATCCTCTCCATGCTGTTTCTTCTCAAGGCCATCAGCAGATAGTGAAAGTATTATTGCAGCATGGTGCTGACATAGACGGGAAAGGAGGAAGATATGCTAGTCCCCTCTCAGCTGCTTTAATGGAAGGACATCAGCCGGTTGTGGAAATAATATTAAGACATGGTGCTGATCTTAATTCTGTCAGCAGTCTGCGTGGCTGGACAGCCCTCCATGTAGTCTCATTCATTGGCCATATGGAGGCAGTTAAGCTACTTCTTGAGAAAGGCGCAGATATTACCGTCAGGGATCATGAAGGGAGAACACCCTTGCATCTTGCCATGGATAAAGGCCATTTGGAGGTAGTTAAGCTGCTTCTTGAGAGGGGTGCAGATATCCCAGTCGGTCGTTAAGGTCATACTGGTAAAACACTCCTTCTAGCCCTAGAAAAAGGTTACATCGAGGTTGTCAAGATACTTCTTGCGAAAGGTGCAGATAGTACTGCTAGCAATGATTCTAGGGAAGAACTACTCCATCTAGCCTCAGAGAAAGCTACGTTCAAGTGGTCAAACTCCTTCAAGTGAAGCAAAGAAGACGTTTTAATGAACCAGCAAGGCTAAAAAAACCATGGCATCTAGCCATATATAATGGACCGACTGACATTGCCAAACAGTGACTTGACAAGGGGCAGACATCAGCATCAAAATTTTCATGGAAATTACACCTGTCGACTCATCCACACGTGGCCAGCTGGGGAAAGCAGTCTTTCCGAGCCCCTGGAGGTATTTCCATTCATGCAATACTTGATTTAGTCATAAAGAAGCAAGTTTCCCGCTTCATTGGCCGTTAATTCGGTACTTCTTTTGTAATATTGCGACTTTGCATGATCAAGGCCATTCCCCCTATTAAATATTACTCATAACAATTTGGACTCGGAGAACGTACGCAAAATATATGAAAGGAGTGTCGCCTTGGTTTTCAAGACCAGCCTCTGCAAGATCCTGTCGGAGTCTCTTACCGGAACAAATTTGAGTGTCACGACGAGCACTGCTTTTCAAAATCTTGTCCATCCTTAGTATGCCACTTTTACCGCGCCATGCTGCAAACCGGGCCGCGAGATGAAGCATGGAATCGACTATGGGTGGGGTATATTCTGGGCCTCTTGGTGTGCAGCGAATGCGACCGTGCGGCACGTGTCAAAGAATCGACGGGCGGTTAGGGCTGACAACCACCCGATCTGGGAACTTCCACTAAGATTACCCTAATTGGTGAATATCTCTCCTTCCCCTCGTGGTATTGTCGGGGTTGGCAACGAGCCTCGGACTTCTGTCAAACTCTATTACACATCGCTGTGGGCTAGACCCGACTTTTCTATCCAGTACTCCCGTCTACCAAGGAGTGGGCTGGTCAGGGGCAGAATGTCAACTTCTGCCGTGACCTTGGGCGCAAAAATTTCACCATCAAAAAGTTGGCCAAAGGATCAGCGGGTTAACCAATTTAGGCAGGCGATTCCGAGCCGAGAATCGGAGAGATTCCGACTCAACACTTGGCCTTAGTATACTATCCTGGGACAAATGCTGGCAGATGTCATGATTTCAGGCTGAGTCAGTACACCATGCCCAGTTTGTAGACTCTGTGAATAACTTTCTTTTTTGTCTAACCCTATGAATAGCCTGAGTGTATGTGCATTCCACCTCCCAAAGATGACATTTATCCCCGGTGCGCTCGTGTGTCAAAAATTGGAATGGCTATTCGTGCCTAGGCCAGAACCTCATCTGCTAGGACCTCTACTAAGGCATCGCTATGTATAGAAACACATAAATAAAGTTCGATAATCTCCCGGTATGGTAAAAGTGTAACTAAAATAACGAGAGATATGTTCCTCCATTCGGTTAGACTGCGATCTAATCAGATTATCAAAAATCTCCGGAGAACAACTGGATCCCATTAAGTAATTGAGTGGCTAAAACCCTCTCGTCTCCATATTTTCAACCGGGCCAAATTTTTCCGACTCCAGGTGCCCACGATGACCGGTATCAGGGCATTTCCGCCTTTTTCCCCATACACAGTTTTGTGACCAAAATGGCGCCGACTACTACAACAACCATGACGGCGCAAATTGACTCGCCACCGCTGGCTTCCTCGGTATCTTCAGTATCTTCGGTGGATAGAGAAGCAATCAAGAAAACTCGCCTGCAACAGGTTGTAGTCATCGTGCAGCTCGTCGGAGTCACTCTGACCGCCAGCCTGATCAATGGCCTGGTGACTATCGCACTGCCGACCATCACCAAGGATCTTGAACTGCCGTCTTCTTTAGCCTTCTGGCCCTCATCAGTTAGCAGTCTCGCTACTGCGTCGACACTACTCCTCGCTGGTTCTATTGCCGACACCATTGGTCCACGATGGGTTGAACTGGTCGGATCTTTCTCCAGCGGAGCCTTGATGATTGGACAGGGATTGGCTCGAAATGGAGAAGGGCTAGTCGTAATGAGGGCCCTGCAAGGTGTCGGCCTCGCCTTTCATTTGGCTTCTTCTGTCTCCATCATCACCCAGCTTCTGCCCCAAGGCAGAGGCCGTAATTTTGCTTTCTCATGCATCGGTCTCAGCCAGCCCCTTGGCTTCTCGCTCGGACTAGTCGTGGGCGGTGTTCTAGTCGACACAATCGGCTGGCGAGCAGGATGGTACATCGCAGGGGGGATCACTCTCTTCTTTGCAGTTATTGCAGTCTGGACCCTGCCCAAGAACAAAACTGTTCAAGACCAAAGTCTTCTCCACAATGTGCGGACGAGAATTGACTGGCTCGGCGCCCTTCTGGCCTCCGCATTCATGGCCTTACTCTGTTACCTCCTGGCGTAAGCACCACATCCCCAGCATAAAATTAAACAAAAATTAACAAAAATGACAGTATTGTAAGCGCGGAGCCCTCCCGCATCAAATCCGTTGACAGCATCGTCATCCTGTGCCTGGCAGCAATCGCCCTGCCACTCTTCATCATCTCATCGCACCATCGTGTCAAGCGAAACAAAGTAGCTCTGATCCCCAACTCCCTATGGAGAAACACCTCCTTCTCCAGCGTCTGCGCCACAGTGGCCCTGTCCAACGCAGTGCTCAACTCCATGGAACTCTTCGCTAGTTTATTGTAAGCCGCCCCACCACTCAGTCCACCTCTCCCCACACCCCTCCCCCCCACTAACAACTACCTTAGCTTCCAAGAAGTCCAATACCTCTCAGCCCTACAAGCGTCCATCCGCATCCTGCCGAGTCTCATAGTCGGCGCCCTCCTAAACCTTATCATCGGGCTTTTCGTCCACAAGATCCGTGCCGTCTGGATTGTAACAATCACCTCGCTTCTCTGCGCCGGCTCCCCCCTCCTAATGGCTGTCATCCAACCCTCATGGCCATACTGGGGTAACGCCTTTTTCGCACAGATCCTGCAACCCGTTAGCTTCGACGCGCTCTTCACTGTCGGTCTGATAGTCATTACCGATGTCTTTCCAGACGACACGCAAGCTCTGGCTGGTGCAGTGTTCAACACCTCGGCGCAGTTCGGGAGTGCCCTGGGACTTGCAGTGTTGCAGGTTATCTCGACGGTTGTGACGGATCAGTCTGGGGCGACGAAGGAGAGGTATGCTTTGATGGATGGGTATCGGGCCAGCTTTTGGACAATGTTTGGGTCGATGATTGTTTGTACAGTTGTTGGGTTTTTTGGGTTGAGGAAGGCGGGCAGGGTTGGGTTGAAGCAGGATTGAGGTGGTGGTGTCTGGGGTTTGTTTTACAGGTGTATGGGTATTGAAGATAAGGTACTTTGTATAGATCGTATGGCTTTGTGAGTCATCCATAGATTAGGAGTTGCAAGTTGAGATTATAAAACCGGAATGTGATAGACATGGAAGTCCAATATCAAACATCTACTACGCCCCGGATGCGACCAATATCTAATCGGGGCGAGCTTATTGGGAAAGTATTGGCCCGAGGCTACTAGTGGTTATATCCTGATTAACGGTGCAATATGGTTACTCTTATCTTACGCCTGATATTTTAGTTCGAACCAAAGCAAGGTATTTAGAAAGTTAGAGCAAAGCAAGAATAGGTAAATTTCACAGCAGTAGAGAGGCTTAAAACTGCATCATAGCAGAGGAGTAGCCTATCTCTTGACCCAGGGCTAACTCAAAGTACTGGCTCAGTGTACGAGGGCGGATCAACCGGAGACCCTGTCTACTTAATTAAATCTGCGCCCTTTTCTCAACTTCTGTTTGCTTTGCGTCGTGTCATATGATTCCCTTTTCAACAAAGTTTCCACGGTCAAGTTGCTACCTTCACCATTTGGCAACAGCCAATAGACCCTCACCCTGTAGTAATAGCAAATAAATAAGTAACACATATGTCAGAAAATATGAGTTGCGCAGAGGCGCTGTCATACGACAAGAATATGGGACTGATTACATTATTAGCAGTGCATTTAACTTGCCCTAGGCCACAGTGACAAGAAATATTATAATCACTGGATATAGTTCCTCAGCCGCTCGAGACCCAGATGAACAACATCACCGGGCATTCGCACGCTCAATGACTAATCCTATGCCATTAACGTAGACCGACATATATCAAGATGGATGACTTATATACCACCGATAGAGCCTTATGATCAATAGCTAAGAAATCTTAATATACAGTTGCCTTTTCAGACGGTGTGTGCATGAATATTGAGCCTCGTCAAGCCTTGTTGTGTGAACCAATGAGTACAGCACACGTACCGCAATGTAATGCAAGGCTGAAGTGCCTTTAGTATGCTGCACGGCCTATCAGTATATTCCACCTATGGTATTTTAGCGCAGAGCCTCAGTAACCCATTTGCCTGGTATACTAAACGCCGGAGTAACGGGATACAATGTCAGATTTTTGTCAGATCTAGCATGCAGACACAAGCTAAGTGATTGCCCGTTCCAAATACATGTAAGGTATAGAGCTGCTGGTACATACTAATTGAACCCAGATCTACATACATCTTTACTGCTTTATTCACATACTCCAAGTACTGACTAACTCCTGCTTCACAATCTGTAGCTTTCTAGACACCTTAACCGAGAACACATGTCGACCGCCTTATACGTCGCGTACAAGAGGTATGAGAATATTCTTTCGGATGAAGTAACGGGATAAACTCTTTCCAGTTATTGCATCAATAATATTTGTGTGTATTATGTTGAAGACAGTGTTGTAAAGTGTTAATGACGGCGATCCCAAGTCCTCGAACTCTTAACTCTTTGATTTGCACTTCAATAATCTAGCGAACCACTTCGGTGTATTTATTTCCACTATGATACATGTAATAGTGTATCTATTTTGATTGTAGAGCAGAACCAATCCAAGATGACCAATAGCTCAGTCCCCTTAGTTGCCAATAAGCCAGGGAAATACAAGCAAAGGCTGGTAGCTCCTAGTCTAGTGGCCGCTGTTGTAAGGACGCGCCATGTCGATCTGTTCGTGGCGCAGTTGATACCCAGCACCATACCGCCCGTTGAAACTATCACGTCCTGTCTGCATGGCCGAGTCCTCCTGTTCTCCGTGGCGGATTCTCTGGTCTCGAGAGAGTTGTTGTAATGAATCGTCGGACATCTGCCCTAGCCACTGCACAGACCTAGCGCCTGTAGTTATGTGTTTCGCTGATATTAGATCCCCAATAGTCGACACGACCAGCTGGTGGGACTCATCCGCTGAAGTCACATCTTCAAATGAGTTGGTCCGGGCCTTCCCTGCAATGTCGGATGCGTCCGCACATATACTCAGGCATTGGGCAATACTGTCTCTTTCCTCCCGAATGAGGTCCAGCCTGGCTTTTCCTTCTCGTGACTGTAGGGTGCCAACTTCCAAAAAGTCCTTTAGCTGGCGGTCTAGCGTATTTAGCCGGGCTTCAAGATTCCGGGAGCTCAACGAAAGCCTATGTCTGAAATCGGTCAGCATGGCATCAGTCGCGATATACGGCCTGGTGGGATCGAAGCCGTTATGGGAGGCAGGCTTGACTGTTAACATAGGAACATTCTGAGAGTCCCGGGGCAGGCGCGTTTGCATCCCCTCGATATAGCTGGAGACCTGGGTGCAAATAGCCAGGCATTGCTCTGTACTCTCCTTTTCTTCCCTTACTACACTCAGGTCGAAATCCAAATGCTGAACGTGACCTGTTTCTTCAATCGACTTCACTCGATCATTAATCCCTTGTAAGTGATCCTGGAGATCGGATGTGGCCTCTGCAATCATCTCCTTATATTCCTCCAGGACATTTGCAGTGACAGTAGCTTGGCGACTAGCTCACACATAAGTACACGAAGAAGGCATTTTTGTTATCCCGCTGGCTAGAGTACTCACAAGGTCGCACCTCCTAAAGCAATATTAATCGTGGCCTTGTAACCGGCCAGAGTAGTCCGAAGGTCCGCGATATCACCCCCCATATACTGCAACTTTGCCCAGTCGCGGAAGCTCGTCCTCTGCTCACGTGAATGGCTCGTGCATTTGAGGATAACTTCTTCGAATTCCTTGCAGGTTTTCCCGCAACGTAGCAAAGGCAGCTTCAGCGCCTTGAGCTGAGCCTCATTCTCGGCGGACGCCTTTTCGAGGCTTGCCAGGGCTTGGGTTAGAGACTCGACTTCAAAGCGGAGTTCGCGGATCGCTCTCTTGGAAGACTTGAAACTTTCAATCACTTGGTAGAGGGACTTGGTTGTCTGAAACGCAAACGCAGCTAGGGCAAGTAAACTAGACGCAAGCGACAAAGGTTCAGCCATGTCGAATCAGGAGTCTTCAGTCATACGCAAGGAAACAACATGAGAAAAGGAGGAGATGCAGATATGAGCGTGTGAGAGAAGCGACAAAAATATATGTTGAGTTCGGCGCTTCGGCGAGCAGGATGAGTGAGTTCAGTGACGGAGTGAGGGGCGTTGCGATTCATCGGTTCGTGCGGGGCGGACACTCTCTTACATTAGCCGGCCAATAAGACAGCGATGTTCAACTGGCCGAAGCGCTTAAGCAACACCCACTACTACTACTAACTAGTAGTAGTAGTAGTAGTTAGTAGTAGGAGATGGTCATTTATGTAGTATCCAAGCCCCGAGCCGCCACAAGGGAAAATATAAATTTCCTTCGACTGACATTTACCACTAACTATTTTCCTCTCTACAATATACTCTCTACCGCGCCACCTCAATTCCTATTACCATCCTATTTAGTAACTTAAGACTTGGACTAGGAGATTATCTTATTTTATTCTATAGTCTACTAGTCTTCTATGATTCCGAATGTTACACCACAGACGGGTGGCTGCAGACCCAGAGCGCCCACTCCCTGATCCAGCCATGTGCAGGTGACTTGAGTCAGGATCTGACATGCGGGTAATGGACCCAGACCATCCACTTGAACCTCTGTACTGCCGCCTCGCAATTCCTACCGTAACCCTGGCTGATCCTTGTCTACATCTATCTTGGTGGTTATGGCTCCGTGTCTTTCTTAGCCTTTATGAAAAAGGGGATGCTTGAACAAAGAATGTCATCTCATCCCTGCACTTCCGCACTTGTTAAGCGAATTTGCTTCGCCCCCACGCAATGCTGGGTGCAGATATAAATACCTCTCCGTCTTCCCTTCCTTCCGCCGTGAAGGCCGTCGACTTTTATGTCCCTACCACTCCCCGCGAAGCCACAGCCTTTCAGGGTTAGTAATCCTGATGACCACCAATATGAAACCTGCTATCGTAATTTGTCATGGCTCTTATCATAGCCCCGCCCCATATGAGCCGTTTATGCAGAAGCTACAGGTTCAAGGATTCGAAACGCACTGTCCTCATCGGCCAACTTGTGATCTACGCAAGCTCAACGTGGGGGATGTCGACCATCCGGATTTCGACCTCGGACCTCCGCCAGAGGGTTACCCCAGCGACACTGACGATGTTAATGCGGTGGTCGAACTCCTAGACAAGTTAGTTAATGAGGACGGAAAACTTGTTCTGCTGGTGGCGCATTCATCCGGTGGTTGGGTTGCGACCCAGGCAGCCATACCAGAATTGCAAGCCAAGTCTCGCCGCAGTGAGGGCAGGGCAGGAGGTCTGATTGGTATATTCTACATGGGAGCCTTCCTGGTCCCCGTTGGCGAGTCCATTCACAGTTTCTTCCAGCCGAAGGACGGGACAACCTTCGTTCCCCCATTTATGCGATTCCACGTATGTATCCATTTGAGAAAATGAAATATCGACCAGACGCTGAGTAAAACCAGAAGCACGGCGTAAAGGGCCTCGGAACGCCGGTCGACGCCCCTCGCTTTTTCTTCAACGGTCTGGACGCCGAGTCCTCAACGAAATGGGCAGCTACTCTTACTGCATCGCCTGTCAATACTGATAGACTTACGAACGATGCCTACTCGGCCTTGCCATGTGCATACCTGGTCCTCGAGGACGACTTGACTCTGCCCAAGGAGTATCAGGAGGGGATGATCGCCCTCCAGGAGCAGAAGGGCAACAAGTTCACCATTTATCGAGTGCCTTCCGGACACTCGCCCCATCTGACTTGGACGGAGGGTCTTATGTCTACGGTGGCTGATTTTACCAATGAAATCATTGTCTAATTAAATTATTAACCAATCCCTGGCTTTGGGGGCCGATTTATACCATTCAATAAATGAGTGGATATTAAACAGCCCCAGTTCGACTGGCTGGAGGGAAGAATATCTGTAACCCGGGAGTCTTTATCAAATTTGGTTCGAAGGCTCCTCTTCTTGTCATGAGGAGGGCTGAGAGAGATATACAAGTGAAGGATCCAGTGGATACAGTACACCAATGGAAGATGTTTTTGTGGTATCTTTTAGAAGACCAGTTGCGAATATATATAGAGCGCCAGGAAAACACAGTGTACAAAATTATTTCGACAGATGGATAAAGACCTCACACATACTGATCCACGATGTAAAATACAAGTTCGCCTGGCACAGTAGTAAGGACGTATTATGTATTTCCTGAAATACCCACACATGTTCTACACCCAAAGTCAAGAACATCCTAAAGGCTGTTTCATTCACCACCTCAGGAGCTCCTTTCACTGACTCGAGACACCATCCCTCACTCTTGCTACAAGCTTCTCGGCCCCAGAAAAGTCCCTTTCAACCGCAGTGAGCACGCTAGCCCACACTCGCTCCGATCGCATAATAGCATTCGGGTCCGAACACCACTTCGCAGGCCTGTTGTCAACGCTCATTAGCCCCGTATTCTCTGATATATCGGACTTCGTATCTATTACACACCTATTAAGTGAGTCCCATTGCCCAAATTGCGCATGGCCTTGTTCGCCAAGCATCAGGCCACTGATATAGGTTCTTGCGCCTTGCTCGGATGTTTGCATCATAAGGTTCATAGTGTTGACCGCGACGCGGACTCCGAGAGATGATTGTTGTTGAAAGTCTCTTTCCAGCCCAGACTGAGTCGGGCCTGTGCCAACAACGATGACGTATACTCTCGGTGATCCAGAGACTTTTATCATCAACCAGCTTCACAAGGTGCCACTGCACATACATGAGAAAGAGTTTCGTTAATGAGTAATGCTGGATAAATCCAAATGTCTTGAATGAGGTTTCTGAGTTATAAACCTCGAGGATATCTTTATCAGGGTTATCAGTGTCTGGTTCGCCCATTCGGCAGCACCTCCACTTGCTTCCTGTGGGCACTGCTTGTACTGCAACAGATAGCCCTGCAATCTCGCCAGGCTAACCGACCTTTCCGGGATCGACGAGGCAAAAGTGTCAGCCATAGCGTCCAGGCTTGGCGCGGGGTCCTTCGTCTGTTCTGACACGTCAATCGACAGATCACTGTACATATTGATGAACAGCTCCCGCATCTGGTCCCAGTGAGGGGAGCTGAAAGTCAACGTGCATGTCGACTCTCCCCGGTCGAACCAGAGCGGCGTCAAGGCTTTCCGGTGAATTGGTTGTCATGATCAGGATTCGTCCTTCTTGGGCAGAGACCCCGTCGATCGCATTGAGAAGCCCCGACAGCGAGATTGTACGGATTGGTGTTTGAGCGCCCGAGGGAGGCGGCGTATACAGCTGAGTAGCTGAGAAATCTGCAGCTCCTAACTTCAATGAGTCTGCTGCAGTTTTTATTTCTTCCCCCCTCAGGTTCCGCCGGCCGAGTCCGGCGGCATCAACGTCTTCCAGCAGGACAATGCACCGCGAGGGGATGATGTCGGACATCAGTTTCATTAACTTTGATTCGTTCAGGTGTGGGTCGAGAAGACTCAGAACGTAGATATTCAGTCCGAAGAGGCCGGCAAGCGCGGATGTCAGACTTGTCTTTCCCATTCCAGGCGCCCCGGAAAACAGATATCCTCGTCGGTAAGAAATTCCATGGTCTGAATACCACAGGTGCGTGCGAGGATGCAGGTATTCATTGATGTCGGTGAGTAATTCATCTTTCTTCTTTCGATCAAAGATCACCGTGGAGATGTTGCGAGACGGTCGGGTGTTGCACTTCGACCAGCGCCCGGTGAATTCTGAGGTACAGGTCGGTCGGTAAACGGTGGTCATCTTCATAGTCTTGTCCAGGTTATAGGACTGTGCGTCCTGGAGCAAACCTTTGCAAGGTGTTAACGGATGACCCAAAACATTGCAGTTCAATGTAGCAGCGCTCTTTCATCAACTGCGTAGTTTGGTTCTCGGATGCGACCGTATGGCGGAAGAAAACCCATTTTCCCTTGTAGCGAAAGAGGTGGTTGCCCGCATGAGGCCGTAGCTGGATCAGAGGTTGCTCCGCGAGTTGTCGGTAACTGATAAATCTGCCCTGATTTTTGACTTCCCTGCCCTTCAAGGACCCGAGCAATATTTCCTCCTCCACTGATGATTGGTCCCTGCTAATGGCCCGCGTTGAACAGAGTCTAGGGCTTGGAGGATGATGGTCTGTTATCCACTGCAAGAAACGCTGATATAGGGGACCATCTTCGTCAACACGGATACTAGTAGAGAAATAGGCCAGATAACTCAACATGGATCTCGATATATAATTCAAGAAGGTTAACGCTGCGCCAAAGACAAAGGTAAAAATTGACTAGCTTCGCTATATCCATCCCAATTAGATTCCGGAGCTTCTCCAGCCCCGTTGGAGCACCAGCTGCCAGGTTTCCTGGAAATGCTGCGAATGACATTTTCGCTTGTGTATTCCCTACCCCAAATAAGCAGCAATGACGGGATGGGTGAGCTGTCGTGCAATTGATATTTCACCTTGGAGTGGAACCTACTCTCCTGAGGTACCTCTTCAAGCCCTCCGTGGACCCGGACGAGAAGAACAACTAGGGCCCGGCCGGATCCTACGATCATAGGAAACTTATATATTATACTAGGTACACTACCTCAGCCGTCCATCCAAGCCTTTTAGTGTCGGTTCGGTGAAATATTGTATCCCTTACAGCCGAAAGGCTGCTTGCTAGACGAAAGGGGTAGTGTACCTTGCATCGGGGGAACAAACTATTTATGATCTGTAAATGCTATTTATCCGCCCAACTACCGATTCCGTTAGGCCCCACACCGTCTAGATTCGGGGATCACTTCTGCCATTGTATGTACCTTTTGTCATCTTCAGTCCAACATTCGCCTGCCAAGTATCCCAAGAATTCCACGTGTATTTCTTTCCGGTATGCATATCTTCCTTTCCTCAAGGCATATATATCATAGACCCATTACTCGCCCCCATGATAGCATTGTGATCAGGCACCCTCTGGTCATCTAATGTAAACAAAGGCTTTTATTTGATGTGGGTCATCGTAATACTTCAACTCGAACCGGTGTTGTGCCCGGCGCTGCCTGAGACGCGATTTCCGTGCGATGGACTTCACTATAAACCTGCCCAAAAAAAGGTAGGATTATCTCGAGTGTACAGACTAAGATGCGGAATTGAGCCTGTGAACCGTCTGCAAGATATAACATCCGTAGTGTTAATGACTGCTGCAGGCTTTTTTGGTTATGCCTGCTGTTCCATAAAGTTCCTATCAAAAAGAGTGGAGCTGGTGCAAATTGCATTGGCAAAGGGCTGAGTTTATGTCCTGTCTAATGATATTCGATGCGAAGCCTGATGTTGACCTGAGGGTCAAGTCACCAATCTGGGGTGAAAATGGTCGAATGAACTACAGCCGGGCATTTTACTTGAAGTATTGTTGACACTGCTGTATTTTCGACCAAAAACACAGTACTGAATGCCTCATACCATTGTGTAATTATAGATTATATCATATTCACACAAATTGACTGTGGAGATTCCCATCTCGAGTGAACTTAATTACTCGAAAGCGGAGACAATTTGATATGCGCGAGCGCCATCTCCCTCATTCCTCCTCCCTAGTTTTCGATCCAGATTCCTATGATGACAAGCCTTCCAATATTGTTCTGAACGTACCCCTTGTCCGGTGATAGTAGTTATATTAGGGCTATCAATGTCCTTGTACACAAAACTGGGGGATAACACTCGATCGGTTACCTTACCGGGAAATCCTACAGCAAGCTCCATTTCGTCAAATCGAATAGTGAAAATCATAAACCATTAATGAATAATTATGAAATAAAAAAAAAAAAAAGGATTCCCCACCAATGGTACTAAGTATGGAACGAGTAGTAGCGAGGGTTATATACTATAAGTAACCATTAATGCTATACAGAACCAGCCCACCCAGACCTGCAACACACGGCGCACTTCCAGTACATGCCCCATTGTTCCATCCTCAAGCCTCAGACGCCTTCCCTCTCCCATATTCCAACTTCTCCCACCTCATCACCAGCCCACACACTAAACAAAGTGCCCCACCAGCAACAACCAAATAGTACTCTCGAGCAAGAACGTCAGCAACGGCCTCAACCCCACGAGCAAGCACATCCGGATCCTCAGATTCCCACACAACAGACGACACACCGGCCAGCGCCTGTCGTAGATCCTCTTCGGAGAACCCATTACCCCCAATCGCATCCTTCAGCAAATGGAACCCCACATTCTGAAAGATCGAGCCTGCTATCGAAAGAATAACAGTAATACCGCCCATCTGCGCTAAATTGAACATGACAACACTGTCAACCTTATCACGTGGATCTTTGTTGATCACATTTGAGATGCCAACACCATGCTGGTATGAGCAGCCTAGTCCCACTCCAATCAGAGCTTCTAGGCCTAACACCTGGGACTCTGGGACAGTAGGACTGAGTGTTGCGGCCATGGCGCCTGCTCCCGCCACGGTGGCCATGCCTGCGATGATGTAGATTATGTTGTAGCGGCCGAACAGGGGTAGGAGCCCGCCGACTAACAGGACAACTGCTATGAAGACGATAACGAATGGAAGAAGTCGGACGGTCTGTTGTAAAGGGCTGTGGCCGCGAGCGAAGGCGAAGAATAGAGGGGTGTAGTACAACGTGCCAGCGTATGATGCGCCCGCGCATCCGGATGCAATCCACAGCGGCACTAGATCGAGGCGACGGAACAGGTGGACGGGAATCGCACGTTCGTTGGGAGTTGTTCCGATGCACCAACATTGTTGGACGATCCAGGCGACAAGCAACACACCGAAGACTACCCACACCGCGATGGATGAACCAGAGCCCCAGTCCCAGACAGGTCCGGAAAACTCCAATGCGATGCAGAATAGAGCCGGCACGGCGATGTTCATCGTAATGCCAATAGGATCGATTCGTGCGATGCGGGACCATACCGGGATGTCCGGCCCTAGGTATTTGCTAGGCATGCAGATGAAAGCCATGACAAGGACGAGGCCAGCCCATGGAAGGTTCATGTAGAAGGCCCATCGCCAGGTTGTGTGACTGTTGGAGGCGAGAGCTGACCCGATCGGGCCGCCGATGACAAGGCCTACGGCCCATAATGCACCCAAGAGTCCGAAGAGACGTGGTGTCTCTGCTGGAGTGGCGAATACAGCGACAAAAGTCAAATTGCTACATCGTGATCAGGTCATATGGCTTTGTAGAAGAGCTGGAGCATAGCACACCTTTGATAAATGACAGAACCGCCCACACCCATGATTGTCCGCCCAACAATAACAGTGGCTAGATTATGGGCCGCTCCCGCCACGGCTGCCCCGGCCATGAAAACGATAATACTGATGATATAGATCCATTGCATGTCGAAACAGTATAGAATCTTCCGAGAAAAGGATAGGAAGGCAAAGACGGCCAAGCTGAAAGACAGGCCGATCCATGGAAGGAGTTCAATGTCACCGAAGGCCTCGTACAGACGTGGCTGGATGTTGGCCACGTTGCTCACATCATATCCTAGAATATGGTACTTAGTAACTTAGAGATGGTTCGATAACATGCCTAACTAACCATTGATAACCGTTGTTAGCATGACAGCCGCGAGACTGCCTTTCCATTTCCAATCAGCAATGTGATCCCGAGACCGAGGAGTCTCTGGAGCTCTCTTCAGGGCGGCTGCCTCCTTCCCGGATGACTGCTGAGAGATGGTGCTGGAAGATTTATCCGCCATGACGTTTTCTGAATGAACCACAGCATGAAAAAGAGGGAAAGGGACGGAAAACTCCTGTAGCGCGGATGGCCAGGGAGAAAGTTCCAATTGAGATATACATTTTTGCTGTTAAGTTGTGAATAGACCTGCAGCAGGCTGTATGCGAGAGGATGTGGTTAGGCGTCCTGCATGACGTGAATCTCCGCGAGGATGCCTCGAATTGCCGAGCGGAGATACTCGGTAGGTTGACAGTGCCACACTTTATCCTATCCTATGGTGATTCAACCGTAGCACAATATAACAATTTGGCGCCCTTGTTTGGGGGCGCATCATCAGATCTTATTGTCAGTAGAGCGTGATGAACCAAAAACAAACGACATTCTGTACCACACTCCAGGGATATTTCGACCACACGTGCAAGTACCACTTGCAGATCAGGCCGGCCACTTGGTGGCTCCGCATACTTTACCAATAGGGTCAGTCTGCCTTGTCCAGTTACCCTCCACCGCGGCCACCCTACGTCGGCATGCGCCATGCGGTTTCCTCGGTTAAAAATAGCCACGTATACGCGAGTCAGTTGAGCTTTGTTCAACATCGTGTAGGGTAGTCGGTTGTGTTGGTGATGTTATTAAGGCTCTCCGGACAGACAGAGAGTGGGGCCGTTTATCTGTCTAAGCCCTATCCCTCCAATCCTACATGATTTTTATCACGGGAACAACCGATTCCTTTAGTTAAATCCTGTGCTTAGACCAGCAGCGGTGAAACTTTATCAAATCTATTGTTGATTTACCATTCACGAGCGCACACCCGTTCTCGCAGTCCCTCTCATTGGCTGCTGTCCTTGGGCAGATAACCTGGCATCAATCTCTGACCGCACTACGAGGGTTCTGACCTCACGACTCAGAAATTAAGGTACCTCTATAGCCAAGATATGTTAGTATCGTTGTCTCTTCTGTAAACGTGCGTAAAAGGCTACGTGAAACCTGGCGCCTTAGGAACCCTTCGAGAGTCGAGCTAACCCTGCACTGCCCAAATGCCAAGATGACTCTCACACACGCCAAGCAGGATCCAGCAACCGCTATACACCGCCAAAATAGGTATAATGGAGCGCCTGTGTAGATCTCCATCAATATAGACCAATGGAGAAGCCCTCCTGCTCAACCTCATTGTTGGAAACGTATAATAAATTATTCTCCGCTTCCCGTGGGGCTGTGGACCTTGAAGTACCTCCCAGGTTTAGCTCCCATATCATCGTAGTGGAAACTGAGGAATCAACCTAATACTGTCCATATTCTTCTACTGATCTTATGTAGGTGATTTAATTGCATAAATGTTTATTTGTATAAGGACCACAAACTCTAGGCTTCCCATGAATGGGTGAAGTAGAGTTTTTAGGCAGTCCATGAGTCCATGGGCGTCATCGGATCGTATCGGACATCAGAGGACATTCTGTAATACCTTCTAAATTTAGCACGATGTGCTAATATCTATACACTATATATATAAGGATCTTAGATTCAATGTCGGACTATTAATTCGAGTCTTGCAGATCATTTCTCTGAAACCAAACCCTACATAGATCGGCTCGGGAATCATGTCCGATGCTCGTACAACAACCCTAATGGAAACGTGGTTCATTCCCGCTCTCGTGGCCGCCATCATTGCGGCCCGCCTCCTATTCTCCTTCTATTCGTCATGGCAGCATGCACACAGGGCTCGCAGCTTAAACTGCCAAGAGGCTCCGTTGTATCCCTCACGGGATCCGTTTGGCATCGCAACCCTCCTCGAAACATTACAAGCGGATCGGGACAAGATTCTTCCCAAGCTATCGCAGAAACGTGTCGATGTAATTTCCAGTTGGCAAAACAGATATGTTTCTACCTTCCGCGTGCGCCAGGCAGGCCGAGAGAACTTCTTCACCGTCGATCCCAAGAACATCCAAGCCATGTTGGCGACTCAATTCAATGACTTTTTCTTGGGCGATATGCGCCGTAACGCAGGGGCGCCTGTGATGAGCCGTGGAATTGTGAGTGCCCCATGGTGCCCATGCTCCATGCTCCTGTCTTGCCAGTTTACTAATCCGTGCTATGTTTTTACTTAGTTTGTCTCTGATGGTGCGGATTGGTCCCACTCAAGGTCACTAATACGACCTCAGTTTACGCGAACGCAAATCAATAACCTCGAATTGGAAGAACGCCATGTTCAAAATGCCCTGAGAGCTATGCCGACGCGATCACACGGGTGGACGTCTGACGTCGATATCCAGACCATCTTCTTCCGCCTTACACTTGATTCGGCCACAGAATTCCTCTTCGGCAAAAGCTGCAATAGCCAGGTGACTGCCCTGGGACAAAATGTTGGCGACATGCCGGATAGCTTTCTTAACAGCTTTGACCGTTGCGCATGGTACTTAGCTGCCAGACTCCGATTCGAGCGCCTTTATTGGATAGTGAACAACAAGGAGTTTCGCGAATGCACCCGAGTAGTGCATGACCTCGTTGATGGATATGTCCAGTCGGCTTTACAGAGAGCACAGCAAACGGAAAAGCCTGCAGACCTAGAAAGCCGATCTCAGTATGTCTTTGTGGATGCTCTCACCGAAAGAACAAAGGACCCCATCGAGCTTCGAGACGAATGTTTGAATGTCCTGATAGCAGGACGTGATACAACTGCGTCACTGCTTAGCTGGAATATCCTTCTGCTCGCCCGTCACCCACACATTTTCCAGAGACTTCGCAAGGAAATCATCGAACAATTTGGCACCTACAGCGAGCCGCGCGATATCAACTTTTCTTCCCTGAAATCATGCCAGTACCTCCAACATTTCATCAACGAGACTTTACGTCTCCATCCTGTCGTTCCCTTCAATCGCCGGTGTGCCAACAAGGACACTACACTACCGACAGGGGGTGGTAAGGATGGCAAGTCGCCGATCTATCTCCAAAAGGGTCAACCAGTCCTTTATAGCAGTTATGTTCTACAACGCCGCAAGGATATCTGGGGTGAAGATGCCGAGGAGTTCAATCCAGACCGATGGTTCGGTCGCAAGGCAATCTGGGAGCATATCCCATTCAGTGGCGGACCGAGAACTTGCATCGGTCAACAGTTCGCCCTCACCAATACCAGTTATGTCTTGGTTCGGCTATTGCAGCGTTTTGACTCCATCGAAGATGTCTATCCTGATCGCCAGATCCGGTACGGTGTTACCCTCACCAACTGCCCCGCTGATCGGGTTACTGTTAGGATGCACCAAGCTGAGCTATAGGCTCTATGTTAAAACTCTGGACTATCCGCAATCAGACAGAGGCTTGAACATCGCCTGCACTGGGGACAGATATGATCGCCCAGGTGAATTGGGATACCTATGTGGACATATTCAGTCACGAACTTATAATGGCCTTTGTTAGATACCCACTACGAGCTGATTGCGCAGTTGAACGGTCGGCTTTTTATTTTATGTTTTCGGTGTTTATTTCTTCTGTTTTTCTTTTTACTTTTTTATTTTTATTTTTAGTTTTTTTTTTTTTT